TACAAAACTTCTGTTGTTTTTTTCAAAAGCAGGCAAAACTTAATGCGCGCGATGATGCCATCCATAAAAATTACTTGCTGTGGCCTTATATGGGCACTGATAAACCAGTTAAAGTCTTGATTCTAGCTTTGACGAGAACATTTGATAAAGAAATAAACCGTTTGAAACCCAAGCAAAAATGCTTGGTTTAGCAAAAATGTTGAAATTTCAAAAACTTGGATGACCTTTGGAAATTTACATGGTCAATCTATAGGGCCTTTGATGATATAATACTAGTAATTAGTTAGATTAGAAGCTTCGTAACATTGCTATTTACTACCGTAATAGCTATCTGGATCAGCAGTTGACACAGGTGAACTTTACCTTGCACTAAATGAGGACTGGCCATTCTGCAAACAAGGGAATTACAGTGCCATGGAGCTAGCGAAGATCATAGGAAAACAAAAGTTTGTAGTAGCGAGCAAGCTTAACATCTTAAAGCGATATTATGTAAGATTTTCACTATTTCAAACATCGTTGTTTTACATATTTTCTTGCGCTATAAGCCTACCTGGGTTCATAATGACATTTGGGGAGTAAAAGGTCGTTGCCCTGCAAAAACGTGTTGGAAGCTGCCGAAGATACCCGAACGAAAGCCGCTGTTTGTTTACATTCTTTTTAGGAGCCTCCTAAAAATACAGCGGGCCTGGTGCAACTTATTCTCGCGCTGCGCTGAGTCGCTGTAAAAGCGAAATAGCGACGCTAATGTGTTGAAAGTTATCGAAAATGACAATCCAGATGAGAAAATTTCAATTATTTATATTTACAGTTTTGCCGCAAAAATCTTACTTACATAATAACGCTTTAACACTGTTAGTAACGGTCTAAAGGACTGACGTAGCAGTATGTTTTCCAACAAACACACACTGTATATTGTTCCAAGAAGCTTCCGTTCGGCTTTTAATTGTTTGTTTCCCTACCCTGGCGCCGATCCGTGAGAATATTTACACAAACAACATTTTGCTGGTAGCCTGGCAGTGAATGTGAATCGTGGGGTCGTGTGGCGTAACGGCAGAGTGCTCGACGAGGAACCTGCTAATTATAAGTCTCCCAACCCATTCATTTTTCAAAGAGTCGGACATCTCCCACTGCCTCTTGAAAAGAAGTCAAACATCCTAACAACTTGGCTAGAATAGTATACTAGTGATAGAATAGAATAGCAGTTACCATGTCTCCTATTAATGTGAATCATATCCACTCTGTATACCAACGTTATATTAGTTTTAAGTAGATATAGTAAGTTAAATAAGCAGACCGTATAAGTAGAACTCCATGTTAGCATAATTATAGTCTTAAATTCACCACATTCTGTACTCATTGTTCTTTTCAATGTCTGTACGAGTTTGCACGTAGCCCTCGGGCATGAACTTGCAATTAAGAACTCATCGTTCGTATAACGTTATTCTCTTCGTCTAAAAGTTCTCCATGAATGGAAAACTTGTCATGAAGGTGACACAGAATCTAAAGTACAGTGTACACACGGCTGAAGGAATGGGGGCGTCGCGAGGTCCAAAAGTCGGCCATGTATATTGTCAGAGGTTACTTTGAAGCACTACGACATTATGTCATGGGTAGGAAGTGTATATTAGGCCACAGCAAGTAATTTTTATGGATGACATCAGCGCGCGCATTGATTTTCGCCTGATTTTGAAAAAAAAAATTGTTGCCTTCTGACAGTGGTCACCATGCCGAAAATGGGCAAAGATGTCTGTTGCCATGCCGGAAGGTGGATGGCAGCTATGAAGAGAGGAGACAAGAAAAGGCTCTGATTTAATATAATTTTGTTTCTTAATTTAATGCAGTGATATGTGATGCTGGCTGTGTATATGTGATGTTCCCACTGATTCAAAACCATTTTTACAATGATTGAGTCAAAATTTTAAAATGTAGGAACCTTGTTTTTTTCGAACCACCTCGTTTTTTTCGCCCGCTCGCAGTAGATTTGGAGTCTGCGGAGGATGTCATCCATAAAATTTACTTGCTGTGGCCTTACCTCTGTAAAGCCGATATCCGGTGCCTTTCCCGAACGGAGAATTCGAGAAATTCGAAAGTACCGTGGCCGACAAGAACAAAATTTTACACCGCAACTTTTGGTGTTTTACACCGCAACTTTTGGTGTTTTACACTGCAACTTTGGGTGTTTTACACTGCAACTTTGGGTGTTTTACACTGCAACTTTGTGTGTTTTACACTGCAACTTTTGCTGTGTTTTACACTGCAACTTTTGCTGTGTTTTACACTGCAACTTTTGGTGTTTTACACTGCAACTTTTGCTGTGTTTTACACTGCAACTTTTGGTGTTTTACACTGCAACTTTTGCTGTGTGGAAAACTTACACCCCTCCCCTTTTATAATGGACGGTCCCCCTGTGAGGTCAAAGGTGACAACGATGGCATGCAAACTACGTCGACTGAGTTATCCTTTTCGTGCATAAGTTTTTTAGAGGAAAAGCTTGGCTACGTTGTGACGTTAGTTTTTTTCTAAAGGTTTTTCTAGCTTTGGCCTATAGATCGGGATAAATTTAAAAATGTTTCGACCAGGTCCAGTGATTACAAATTATGTTGCTTTTTGCTGCCATGCGTCACAACAAATTTATCAAAGAAGTCGTACTACTTATTAAGTTAAAGTTATTTTACTTTGGACCAACCAATGACTTTATCCTTTAGTAAGTCAGCACTTTGCACTGGTTACAAGGATAAGCAGTAGATTGAAGAATATGGATAATATACCTGCACACTCTGATTTAAACTTTAATTTTTACGAGGACGTAGTTTGCATGCCATCGTTGTCACCTTTTACCTGACAGGGGGACCGTCCATTATAAAAGGGGAGGGGTGTAAGTTTTCCACACAGCAAAAGTTGCAGTATAAAACACAGCAAAAGTTGCAGTGTAAAACACCAAAAGTTGCAGTGTAAAACACCAAAAGTTGCAGTGTAAAACACAGCAAAAGTTGCAGTGTAAAACACAGAAAAAGTTACAGTGTAAAACACAGAAAAAGTTGCAGTGTAAAACACCCAAAGTTGCAGTGTAAAACACCAAAAGTTGCGGTGTAAAACACCAAAAGTTGCGGTGTAAAATTTTGTACTTGTCGGCCACGGTACGAAAGGGTCAAACGCCCATTTCTACGCGTGGGGTAAGAAAAAAAATGCAGTTATGCACTGATCAATGAAAACCTCTGCATGACGGGGGTAGCCCTCTTGTCTTTGTATTGACAGGTGCTTGGGATGTTGCAGAAGAGCTATGTACTTGATATGTTGCAGAATATGTCGCCTGCTTTGTCCGATGTAATTTGTAATTTTGTACACAAGTTCTTTCCAATTCAGGGAGTCTTGTACCTGCTGTAAGGTTTGCTTTTTGGTGTCACGAATAAGGGGGGAGGGGGGTAACCGCCATCATGTTTAAACTCTGAACAACAACATCATTTCCGTGTAGGTTGCGTGAAAAAGGCGGTTCAATATCACCATCAAGTACTGTATTCAGCGAACCAGCATGATCTCGTATAAAATGGGCGTATACGACCATATATTGAGACAAAGAAAGAAAGAGAAGATATACTAGTATCTTGTACAGTCAGCCCCCATACCTCTTGTGAATTCAATCGTCCTAATCGTGTGAATGTCACTTTTCAACCTAGCTAATAGTCTCTACCAGACTAACTACGCTGGCTACATATAGGAAAATATTTGTCAATGGAATTTGGCCGCCTTGTGGTTTGACTGGCCGCGCAATTAGAAAGAACTAACCTTCCACGGCCGGACTCCCCTGGCCAATTTTACTCTCCTTTTTGCCGAATTCTACAATCCATATTCCCGTAGAAAGGCCTGGTGGAGGCTATCTAGCTAGTACCTTCCAGCAATGATAACTAACAAGAACCATATAGTACTGTTATTGCACAAGCATCGGACAGTTGTGGCATGGCGACTTGAGGCAAACATTATCGTGCTATACTTGTCCTGATTGTTTGCACCTATTCCCAAAAATGAATTTCGAGCCCTGACATGTGATTAGCCCAGTGGGGCAAAATTTTCAATAAAGGTCTTCATTCAACAATCCGACAGGCCATTTTCTCCACACGTCTTGTACCTGACGTATCGAATAAATTACCTGAGCCAGCTGGTTGGGTTGTACTCTTCCCACGATCATTAAGGTCTATTTTCCAGTCTACGGCCTTCTTAAGGTTTTCACAATTGTCTCTTTGATGAGAGGTGTACGTTTGAGTCTCAGGGACCTTTGGTGAACTTTCTCCCAGATATTCAAGTTTTTCTTATATCATCTAAAATTTTCATCATCTAAAATTTTAGAACATTTTCATTGTTTTGTGTGTGTGTGTGTGTGTGTGTGTGTGTGTGTGTGTGTGTGTGTGTGTGTGTGTGTGTGTGTGTGTTTGTCCATACTTTGGACAGCAACCATGCACCGATAGACCATTCTACGTATAGTAAGTCATGTATAAACAAAACGTCCTCACGTATAACTTTTTGGGGTAATTTGCACATGACGACAGAAAAATGCACTCTGGCATTCCTAACACGTTACACATTCATCAAAATCTTCAAATGGTAACAAAAATAAGTAAAATCGTAAAATAAGGATTGAAAACGGTACAAGTGACGTCATTGTAATTTATGATATATATGTATGTTTAAGAAAAAATGTATTGGCCCACATAAATATTTGGCTGTCTCAAAATGGCGATTCGTGGATGGGCCCATGGGCCCTACTCGAAACCTTACGTATCCAATCTATGCATACATGTTATGAATGTATATTCTACAGATTAGTCATTGCGTTACTTTAATTTGTATGTAACTCTGTCTTCCAGCTAATTTATCCCGAGTCAGACTTATTTCGTGTCTCCTGCCCTCCCCACCACTCGTACACTGTTTGTTGACTAAATATTCCGTCTCACCAAAAACACACACAGACACACACACACCGTGCGTTAAAAACATGATTCCCTCACCTGCCGCCAGTTTCCTGCTACATTCTCTCCGTTGTACGATGAAGTCCAGTCCAGTTTTGGAGTTCATGACTGACTTCACACACCCAACACACTCCAACTGCACGAAGGCGTCCGCAAAACTGGAGAACCCCTTCTGAGACAGTCTCTCCAAGGATTCGAACAAGATCCCGAGTCCGTCTTCTTCTAGAAACCTCAGCATCCATTCTGAGTCGCAAGATGCGAGTTTCTTCTTCAAGGCTGAGTACGTCTGGACGGAGGGGTAGCGGAGGGTCTTGACGTAGCTCTCGGGGTCGGTGCTCTCTAACGCCGAGGCGGCTAGCATGGCGGCCTGCTGCTGGTTCACCGCCGCTCGCTCTTTCGTCTCCTTGCGAAGCTTCGCCCATTTCTGCATCCCTCCTGAAATCTTGACTCTAACTGCCGGTTCTGGAGCCTGCAGGGTGGTAGTTTCTTCGCTGCCTCCCTCCGCCATGGTTAGACTTTTTACTGAGTTCTGACTGTCGCGAGTCGGTATGTATTCACAACAAGTAATGACATTCAACACAATCACACTGCCGCCCTTACACACCACCGCGCCGTCTCCAAGAAACCGCCGTGAATGGCCAGCTATTCTCCCGCTGACTCGGACAGAAGTCGCCCGGCTGTGCTCACAGAATAACGATTCACCGCCGTCTGAACTTCAACCTGTTCTTGTTCCTCCACCTTCTCTCGCCACCTGGTGAGACAATCGCCCCGCTAATAACCGTGAAATGTCGTCGACATAAAGACCCTCAGGCCAAAGGTCTTTCTCATTGGTACATGTTGAAAACGTGGAGTGAAAGGCTGACGTATAGTATACAATGTAGCTCTATACATTGACATGAAGTCAGGCGTATAGAACGCAAAAACAACTGCCGCGTGGTCGCAAACTTGGTGCTCTTCTTGCCAGGTGGTAAGACTTCTCGGCGGCTGAATTTTTGTGTAGACACTGCCCCGATTTGGTCAGGTGTAATCACACTTAACGGTACAAACTGTAAACACCCTCCTGTGCTTACCTGTGCCTCTAATGACCGGTCCCAGTACTTAGTGTTTACCAAATCAACCTATCAATCAAACAGCACATGACAAGGTACGTAGGTGTGTGCGGCGCATAGTCAAAATACCTCATGTTGGGTTGGGCAGACTTGACTTGGCATTATAGGGCCAAGTTTTAGCTTTAAACAATGTCTAGAGCTAGAAGTTCAAGGGTTAGGTGTAACAAGTCGATCGGTGTAATATAGCCAGCTGCCGCCGCGCCGCGTGCCTGCGAAGCTGGTGTGTTACGCCGAAAGGCGGTTATACCGGCTATACAGATACAGACAGAAGTTTTATTGATTTGTCCTTGCGGGTAAGTCATATTCGTCGTAGATTGTTGATTATCATACCGTAGAATTTTCAAGCAGATTGTGGCAGGTATTCACAGATTCAGCCACGGGCAAGGGTAGTAGGCAGTCTTTTATTACTCCGTGATGTAGTAAGGCCACACCGCCTTAATTTTATGGATGACGTCGACATCCGCGCGCGCATTGATTTTCGCCTGTTCTCAAAAAAAATCACGCCCTCCGATCCGAGGCTCTGGCCTGGCTCTAGGCCTGGGTAGTCCATGGTAGTTAGCGACAATACGGAGCCAGTGGTAACTCTGGAGGATGGCACCCAGGTTACTGAACCTTCGCGACTCAAGAACTCAGTGCATACGTACAGTGCCGATTCAGAAATTCCGCAAAAAAGCCAGTATGTGCCGGTTTGTGTACGTTGCTATGTACTGCCGGAAATTCACAATATCAGCTTTTATTTCTGTGGTTTAGTAGCATTTTTATTTTGGGCCGGATTTTTTTTTATTCGCCCGCGCACTCTAGTTTGGGGTCTTCAGAGGATGTCAGCCATAGAATTAAATCTGTGTGGCCTAAGTATTCTACGGCATGTGATGTGGCGTTATGTCCGTGATGATGCACGTAGTTTTCTTCTTACCGTAGCAGTTTTTTTTTTCAAGTAAATGCATATTTCAGAAACACCCCTATGTTTACAATCCTGTGGAATAGGCCGTAGCTTTAAGTAGTTGTCTGGTAGGCGAGGTCCTATAAGCAGATATTAGGCGTTGTTGTGTATGATCATTGTGAGTATCTGTTGGGATTGCGACTTATGATTTGCACCTACTACGATACCTTGTCAAATAAATGATATGTAGTAAATGAAACATATTGATATGAAAGATGACTTTGCTCTCACACTGTTTACATACACTATACTGTCCCTAAAATGCAAAATATAAAACTTCACGGAGAATTGTCGCCTATGGATACTTGTTTAACTTTGCAGGACATATACACAACTACCCCTAAATCGCCCTCGGTTTGTGCTCGAGCAAAAATCTTACGATAAATGTGGCTGAGCCCATAGTCGTGACTCAAATTTATTAATCATATTTCTATCAAATAATTACGGGTGTCCTGTGGAGATGCATGTTCATATACAAAAGTGTTTTTTTTTTTCAAACTGGCTGGTCGTTTCACTCTCATTTTATCAAACTGATAGATGTTAGAACAGAAAGAAGACGTGGGTTCCATTTTACAGTTAGGCCATGTTGATTTGATTATATGGATGACATCCTCTGGGAACCCCAAAACTGATGCGAGCGTGCAAATAAAAAAAGTTTGGCCCCCCAAAAAAGTTGCTTTCATTATGAAATCTACTTGGTCAAGAAGGTGGAAAAAATGACCAAGAGTATGGTACGGCGAATAATCTACACTTCAAATTACATTTTCGTTTGATTTTGGCATTCTACGATATTCGTATCGTTTTCCAATATTTTTTGCAACTCACGGTATATATTTGCTCATTTTGCAACTGTTTTGTACGATTTACAGTATGGTTGAAAACGTTTTTTTTTACGGACGAAAATTCATGCGCGCGTGGATGTCATCCATATAATTAACTCAACATGGCCTTACCGCCTTGCAAGATGAAGTACTTGGTCATATACACGGTGTCATAGTCCAGCGTACAAAGACCTCGAACTTTGCCACAGATATCGACGTGAGGGCCGCTAATACATTTATCCTTTGAGCGTCTAGTGTTGCAGTTGGGGTCTCTTTGTTCGAGCCGTAGTCCATCAGGTACGTATATACCGTCTTTAGGCCACAGCAAGTAATTTCTATGGATGACATCAGCGCGCGCATTAATTTTCGGCAGATTTTGGGGAAAAAATTTTGTTGCCCTCTGACAGTGGTCAACATGCCGAAAATGGGCAAAGATGTCTGTTGCCATGCGGGAAAGTGGATGACAGATAAATATGAAGAGAGGAGACAAGACAAGACTCTGATCTAATGTTTTGTTTCTTACTTTGATGCAGTGACATGTGATTCTGACTGTGTATATGTGATGTTCCTACTGAATCAAAACCATTTGTACAATGATGAAGTAAAAAAAAATTAAAATGTATGAACCTTGTATTTTTCGGAACGCCTTGTTTTTTTTCGCCCGCTCGCATTAGATTTGGAGTCTGCGGAGGGTGTCATCCATAAAATGTACTTGTTGTGGCCTTAGTCAGTGATACCGCGGTACCGGTAATCTCTAGTAGCAGAACCAAAAGTTCAAGGGCAGTCACTTCCGCTAGGATTTTAATCGTGTTCGTAGCCAACGTCATTCAACAAGACGACGATATGTTAACGTAACCATGCTATAATGTATTGTGAAGCTTTGTTACTTCCTGGTTACTGAGGTACATCTTTTGGGGCAGAGCCGTGGGTTTTCCTCCTAAGGCCACAGCAAGTAATTTTTATGGATGACAACAGCGCGCGCATGCATTGATTTTCGCCTGATTTAAAAAAAAAATAGAAAGAAATTCTGGTACCCTCTGAAAGTGGTCAACATGCCAAAAATGGGCAAAGATGTCTGTTGCCTTGCCGGAACGTGGATGGCAGATAAATATGAAGAAAGGAGACAAGACAAGGCTCTGATTTATTGTTTTGTCTTTTACTAATTTGATGCGGTGATGCATTTCATGTATTCATTATATGTGATGTTTCCACTGAATCAAAACCATTTGTACAATGACTAAAAACTTTTATTTTTCAGTGAGAAAGGGATGTTGTAACAGTTGCCAGTAAACTTAGCACAATATAGGTATCATTTCTTGTTTAACAAGGTTTATGATGTCAAAATTTGAAAACGTAGGAACCTGGTTTTACTGGCCCACCTGTTTTTTTCGCCCTATCGCATTAAATTTGGAGTCTGCGGAGGATGTCATCCATAAAATTTACGTGCTGTGGCCTAAGTGACCGATGTATGTGGTACTACTCTTCAAGCAGATTCTTAGATTATTATATGCCCCGTGTTTTTGTCGCTACCCCCACCAACCTCTGCTTGCAGCTTGGAGAATATGTGGTAGCAGAATGGCACTCACACACACACACACTCTCACTCACTCACTCACAAACACACTCACTCACTCACTCACACACGCACCTTTGCTTTCACTCAAAACAATCTGGTCAGAAGAAGAATTTTGGACGACTTCACATGTATGTGATGTCGTCATACAGTGACGTCATATCCGGTCCCTTCTACTCCACATCGATTTCCGGTTGGCTTACGCAAACATCTACTCAACAGTTGTATGGCAACACCCCGTGAAGGGAGGATATTTTCGATGCTATGACTCAAAACGACCAAACCCACCATGTTCACTGTTCTTTGTGAGGATAAAGCGAGAGACGAGAGGGCTACCCCCACCCCGCAGAGGTTTTCATTGATCAGTGCATAACTGCATTTTTTTTTCTTACCCCACGCGTAGAAATGGGCGTTTGACCCTTTCGAATTTCTCGAATTCTCCGTTCGGGAAAGGCACCGGATATCGGCTTTACAGAGGTAAGGCCACAGCACGTAAATTTTATGGATGACATCCTCCGCAGACTTCAAATCTAATGCGAGCGGGCGAAAACAAAACAAGGCGGGCCGAAAAAAACAAGGCTCCTACAATTTAAAATTTTGACTCAATCATTGTACAAATGGTTTTGATTCAGTGGGAACATCACATAATACACAGCCAACATCACATATCACTGCATCAAAGTAAGAAACAAAACAGTAGATCAGAGCCTTGTCTTGTCTCATCTCTTCATAGTTATCTACCATCCGCTTTCCAGCATTACAACAGACATTTTTGCCCATTTTCGGCATGTTGACCACTGTCAGAAGGCAACAAAATTTCTTGTGTTTTTTTCCAATATCAGACGAAAATTAATGCGCGCGCTGATGTCATCCATAAAATTTACTTGCTGTGGCCTAAGAGACAAACGCGTAGGTGTCATTCAGAATCAACCCGGCGGAATGACGCGTTTTCACGACTCGTTGCAAGTAGAAAGAAAATATCTTCAAACGCTTCTTTTTTTTATTTGTAAGGTTTGTGGTTTTACGAGTTGTAAGGAGTGTTTGTGTTCAGTGTGTTTAGTACGTATTCTTTAGTCACGACGCGAGTTTTTACAGCCACCGTTCCTACACAGTACAGGAGCTAACCATAGCACCGGGCAGGATTAACATGCATGGGGGATACTATGTTGTCAAAGGCATCCAACGCAACTTTCAGGACAGCAAAAAAAAAATTCTGAATCTGTCTGATGTTGACAGTTGCTGACATTAATTTTTTAGCACCTTTTCGTCATCATTTCATATTTGAAACGTTTTAAAATGGCGCCGGCCCCAAAACAAGTTATTTGAGGAGTCTCATTTTTTGTTACTTGCCTTTTTCTTTGTACCACCCGAACCAACCTACGATACAAAACAAGAAACAGTTTTCGTCAGGGACAAAGAAATGGTTGGCACTGAGCTACATAATTGTTGTGACCCGGCGCGGTGCTTTCATTTTGTGTTCCAACGATCAAGGAGACGAAATCACAAGAAATAATTCAAACGATTGTATGCGGTAGACCATACGATAGGTTGTAAGTGTGAAACCAATTCAACTATTTTTGTGAAAGAGAAGTCTTCTGAGATGAAATCTCATGCCATCAGGTGAACTTCTGGTGACCCTAGTTCATTCTAACCCATCCTTTCTA